TGGTTTCGTTCTCTACACGAAGCAGAAGGCGCAGAGGTCGTTCGAGTTCGTCCACGAGAATGGACTCACCAGTTTAAATTTAACCTGTTACATGAAAAAAAACCCACCTGATTTTTCAGTACTTCACTCTTTAAGTTTATATTTGGCTTTCCTTCAATCGATACCTCCACCATCAATCAGGATTATCAATCAATAACGGTGATCAGACGAATCGGGTGTTTCTTCAGTCGTCCGTTCTTTGTGGCTATCAACAATGGAATGTAGGTGGATTTCTAATAAAATTTCTGTTCACTGGTCTCTATATGGGTCACAATTCTCACTCTAATAATCCTAACTTTTCCTTCAAGCTTTTTCCGTTATTTATTTAACTGGTTATTATTTTTGCTTTAGGTTGTGTATTCTATGCCTGCTAGTACATAACTTTATGCAATCCTTTTTATATAAAATTTAAAAGAGGTAGTGTTTAACCCATTTTATATCTATTTTCTTCTGTTTTGGCTCGTACTTGTTCAAGTTCTCTTTCCTGTTCTTTTTCTTTTGTATAATATAGTTATTTACATAGATGTAGATATAAAAAGAACTAAGTCTTCTCTACCTATTTTCAATGACGATAGGACCATAGGTTACAACTGTTTGATTGTAAATGTTTATTTCCACTTGTAATTCAAAAATGGAAAAGGCGAAGTTTCGCATTTTAAAATCAACTTTATACCAAGTTAATCCATAAATGCTAATTGGTCATAATTGTCCATATTAATTATTCCAATTAATTATTCTTTTTATCTAAGATTTTTGGTTGAGATGAAAAATTAGTGTCACGAGCGGGATTCGAAACTATCACCTTCGGCTCAATACGCCGCTGCTCTAACCCCTTGAGCTATTTTGACTTCGATCCCCTCGGACACCAACTCCGCATCTCGACCTACCTCTCTTGAAAATATGGCAAAAAGAGGGAAAATTCGAACGGTTCGAATCCCGCTCGTGGCACTAATTTTTCTTCTCAACCAAAACCTTAGATAAAAAGAAAAGTTATTTGGAATAATTAATATTGTCAATTATGACCACTAAGCAAAATATGGATTATAATTATGCCATTAAGCCATTAAAGATTAAGTAATTTAGTGGCCTTTGATCTTTCAACAATCACCATTTTTAATTTCATTGTACTTGAAACCAATTTTTGAAATTATGAAAAGATTTGCGCATTAACCCAGTTAATCTTTTAAATTATGGATTAATCTTCTGATGATCTGATAAAGTGGATAATCTACCACGAAAGCTAGTTGATTTTTTTAAGCGTTCTTTCTTGTTGGTCCTGATCATCTTTTAATGGGTCCTCCTCACTACGGGCCTAGCATTGGCCTAGTTCAGTGCAATAGATTCAGTTTTTTTGCCAGTGTAACCTCTTATAAGATTTTCTAGAGTACAAGCAATGATGGCATATATTTCTGCTTGAATGACGGAAGTGTACTTCCGTAATGAGTTTGATTGCTCATGTTTGGGCTTGTTCGGAAAACGCCTGATCCGATTCCTCCATGTGTTTTGGAGACATCTGTATGCCATATCATTGTATCTGATGCACTCCTGTGCTCTTCCTCTCCTTTATAGTCTGTTGAGACTTTATAGGATGTTGTAAAGAATGTTTTCGGGATCATGTAGTCAGTCCCCATTTCTAATAATGGGCGTCTGATTTTGTTAGATATGTTTATTTGCCCGAATTATTTAGTTCCTATCCAATTTGATGATTTCTGGAGCCTAAATAAACTTTTCCTAGCCTCTCCTTGTAGAAATATTTCCAGTGGAGGTAGGTTTAGCACAGTTTCTAATGCATTTGTAAGGGTTGTTCTCATTGCTTCTGTGATACATAGGTTTGCTAGCCTACTATTTGTTGAGCTTTATCCCACCAGATTAACGTTTCATAGGTTATTTTGGGTCTTATTATTGCCGTGTATAGCCAATAGGCCATTTCCGGTTTTAATCCCCAAGTAGGACGTGGGAAAACGTGGTTAAAAACTAGATACAGTGATAAAAATTGCAACTTATTGGAAGCAATACAGGCTAAGCATGGGAGTGAATGTTGTCGAATTTAGCCGTCCGGTGAATCATATGGTGAAAAAAAAGATCTTTCTCTTTTTATCGATCAAGAAACGACTTGAATTTGTCCTCGTAGTTTAACTTCCCTTTTATGGACTTTGTCATTTCGAAATATGGAGTAGTGAAGACGCCAATTCTGCCTTGAACCGGCGTCGGTTCGGTTCCGCTCCTTGCAATCTGTTCTGAGTTGTTTTCAAGGGGGGCCCGCTCCCTTCTGCAAACGTCCTTTCTTCCGATTCCGCTGTGAAGACGATGAGTCACACATGTTGACGCCCAAAGTGCTCCCAGACTTGGGCAGAACGACGCGAGCAGGGTCGGAACCGGTCGCAGTGCGCCCACAGGTCGTACGCCGGCCCGGGTTTTCGCCCTCATTTTACGAAACTCGAAGAGTTTGGCACACCGAAGGGGAGATTTTTGACCGAACGCCCAAACCTTCAGCCCACTCGTCAAATTATTAGAAACTGGAATAATCTGAATAATAATAATTTAAAAAAAAAAATCACATCTCGACTCGGATTTTAACCTCTGCCGTTCGGGGAAGGGCACTAACCCTGTAATCCCTAGACATAAAATAATTGCAATATGTGGGTTCTGACTGTGGCGAAATATTTGTGGGCAGGAACTGCCGCCCGTGTGATGTAAAGTTAGGACATACAACTTTAAACAAATGTACGTTTTCAAAATCCTACAGCACTTTCGGAACAGTCCCACAAATTTTCATCAAGATTTTAACCTTTTAAATGTTATATTTCGTATTATGCTTTTAATAATGATTATTTTTCGATCGTGAGATGAAGTCTAGTGTGATGTACGTTTAGAAAAACATTTTCTTTAATGTGCAAACGTTTCGATCTTTATTTAGATCATCTTCAGGGATCAAAGTATGTGTTTTCTGTTTAGATGTGTTGTGTTACGAGTGTTCTTGAGATATATAAAGAAAATATTTTTCTAAACTTACATCACTCTAGAACGCATCTCACATCTCCAAATAATCATTAATTAATGGTCACTAAATACTACAAACTTCTAGTATTATTTGATCACTTCTGCTGCTATTTTCTTACATTACAGACTATTAGAAAAATCTGAATACAAATGTTAACAACCATTCTGCAGCGATGCATTAATTTTAACATTTTTGACCTTTTGCGTTTTCTTAAAGTTTACTTTAATTTTTACCCGAATTGCAATCGATTTAACGTAGGTGTTTTGCCAGAGGCTTTGTTCGAAAAGTTTGAAAGCTTCTAAAAAGACTTAGTTGAAGTATTACTTCCTAACATACGTATATAATATTGTTAAGAGATGGATAGGCCTTTTGTAGATTTTTTATGTGTGATAATCAGGTATTAGGTCACAGAAACATAAAAAATCCCAACTTCATGTCTAGTTTTCATATAAACAATACATAAAAACAACAATTAAAATATCAAAAATATTAAAAACACTAAGATATAAATTTTTATTTTTATTTTTCCCCAATAAGGTTAATTTAATAATAAATAAAATAAAATAGCGGACAACCTTAGGAAATAAGAACCTTGAGAACCACATTGTTGAAAAATAATTTATGTATTAGTATTAATTAAGGTTTTTAGTTGAGATAAAAAAGTCAGTGTCACGAGCGGGATTCGAACCCACGACCTTCGGCTAAGTCGAAGTCACGATAGCTCAAGTGGTAGAGCAGCGGCGTATCAAGCCGAAGATCGTGAGTTCGAATCCCGCTCGTGCCATTGACTTTTTTTATCGCAACTAAAAACCTTAATTAATTGTAATATATTAGTTGGTCAAGCGGACCACGAAATTAGTGAATTTATGTATTAGTGTTTTTACTCTTTTTTTGGTATTTCCTGATATCCCGAACCATGCCCCAAGGAGATTGAAGCGGCAGTGGCCTCGCGACTTGTTGGGCAGCAAGTCATAACATGAAGACCATAGTAGAAGTGTCACCATTGAGTGAATCTTCACACTCTAGAGCCTCTTTTTTTCAGATTTTGTCTTAGTTTTTCCAATTTCTACGTTCAACAATTTTACTTATGTTATACATACTGAAAGACTGTTTAAAAAAAAGTGTATCATTTCATGGCAGTCTTATCCTTCACGCATTGTGCTCAATTTTCTAATAAATTCATATAGAAAAACAGTGTTTCCCCCAGTGTAAATCAACAACAAAGAGATATCGACTTCCATTTAAGTCATATACCTAGTTATATACATAGACGTCCCCACTCAAGACTTGAAAGACAACAGAATACTTGAACAACAAACTTCTAGGACCAAAATCCGTGTTGTACTTCAACACCAAACTATACAAGACTTTACTGCGACCACTTAGGACAAACGGAATGGAACTGGGGAGTTCACTAATTTCACTATCCACAACGATGTCAATATTCCTTTTGTCAACGAACTGATCCGTTCCCGATTCCAAAAGTTTCGCACCAACCTTTCGATCCTCCTAACCATACCGCTCGAGCCCGACGATGACTTCGAGACCTCCTTTCCCCTTAATCCCTCACACTTGAGTGCTGTCTTCTTCTGTGTACTCCGAGTGCAACGCTGGCAATCTATGCCAAGAGTTGTGACCGTGCGAAAAGAAACACGCACTGTGATGACATTTATTATATCTACAAAAATTTGTATAGGCTACAAATAAATAAAAAAAAAAGTTGTTAAAATTGTCGGTTATTTAGATTCGGATGAAGTAACTTAATAAATAGTAAGAGTTCAGAAAGTAGGAAAAATGTTTTTCAGTGTTTTCACGAGTTTTGCTTAACAGAAAAAAAATTATGGTAGAATCGTTTTCTATCAGTACGAGCTTGAGATATGAATGCTATTATGATGTATTTGTCTTCATTTCTTTCTATAATTTTTTTGATGACGAATTTAATTTTTTCTTTTTTCCGTAGGGTGCTGAAACCACCAGGAGGAGCTTCAAGCGATATCTTCGGCGTGAGTGGTGCTGAGCAGACTACACGCCCTTGGAAAGTGAAGAATCACCAGATGTCTAACGTGTTGATGAACGACGAAGTCGACAAAGCTCCAGCGACACCGACCACACCTGGTAAAAACTCACACCTCCGCCTCTTCGGTCCGCCTTCCCCACCCAAGCAGACACCGAAGAAGAACGGTGCAAAGTCCTCAGTTGGCAACATCATCACAACCGACCAAAATAACGGGCATCACTTAGGTACGTCAACGGCACTTACACTCGGATGGGATGAGATTTCCTTCTACCTCCGTTCTCCGCTCCTTGTGAATTTTTTCTTCTCTCTCGTCTTCTCTTTCACTTTGTTAACAACTCTTCTTTCTCAACCCTCCCCAGTTGCCGTTTCAACTTCACACATTACACACTAGAAAAATCAGAGGGTAAAAAACGGAGGAATTCAAAAAATGAATCTAAGAATTGTCCCTATGAAGATAAAATATTATTCACTGGAAATATGCCAATATACCTGTCTTTTGTTAGTTATGCCCTGTCATCAATTAACAGGTGCGTTGGAACTGTTTAGTTCACTGTTTTACACCATGCCATTTTATTAAGATAAAGCCTTTGCCAGTTAAACTTTTCCATATTATTCAGAGCCAAATAATGTTTGGAAAATAGATTTAAAAAAAATCTGTCCAGCACATAATCATTTGTGATAATAAGCATAATACTATGATGAATTAAAATTGTATTGCATAATAGGCGTTTGGCATAGACATAGCTCTGGATAAAGATTGCCTGCCAGCCGGACTGTTTATTATGTTGAGCTTCATACATATTTTTTTTAAAATCCTTATTCCCTCTCTCTCTTTTTCTTCTTCTCTCTGTACTTAGTCTATGTTTGATGGTGAACTGAACGCATGGTCGATTAAACATTTTCAAAGGAGTTACCCAGGCTTGGTATATTATAAAGGCCAACTATTTTTTTCTTAAAGACTTCACATTTAATGCACTGATGTAATCTAACAGGAGGAGCGTTGAAAGTAAATGGCTTTAATATGCCTAGTCTATTCGTTGAGATGAAATAAATAAAGAAGCTCTATAAGGTCCGATCATGAGCCTTTTCCCTTGCGACCTCGCTAGTGCTTCCGCTCGTTTTTTTTCTTTTTTCTTTTCGACCTCCCTTGCATTCTTGATACTCTATCCGGCGACTGTTTTAAGTCTCGTGTAATCGGTCGATCAGACCCCCAACCCTTCTCCGTATACCTATTAAAATCTCAGACATCCATTTGTATTCTTGTGTGAATGAGGAGAATGACTGAGTTTCATACATTGTAAATTTAACGTTTTTACCTTTTCAATTGTACAGATTAATGTAGTTTTACGTTTAGGAATTAAGACTCTAACAATTAAACGTTGTCAATACCGAGAAAGGAGAAATTTGCAAAATTAATGAACAATTTCATAACTCATCACGAACACGGTTGAAGAATTAGAAACGAGACATTCTTTTTATAAACTCATTTCACATAACTAATGATATATGCTTCAAAGCTAATACCGCTTGATACTCTGATTCGGTTTAACACTACCGATTTCTGGTGCAAGGATTGCATGATTAACCATACGTTTTACGACTTCTGCCAATTTTCCTTTTCATGTGGGATCTCCATAGCAAGGACTGTCTACAAGCGTCCTTGGTTCGCCCACCCCGGTTTCCTTACAAGGATACCAGGAACTCGTGGGTGTGGTGGAAAACTTTCAGAAATGAAAATATATTAACAAAGGGTGGCTGGCGACGTCCAAGATGATAAAAACCGAACAATTTGAATCAAATAAAAAAATAAAGAGGTCTTCTTCATCTTGAACGTCGGAATGAATCAAGCTATGTTTCTTGTTAAGGGTTTTGGACTTAAAACACTCCTTTAAATATTCTAATTGAATTGAAACTAATTCCTATTTCAATTAATTATTCTTTCTATGTAAGGTCTTGGTTGAGGTGACCACGACCTTCGGCTGGGTTCGAATCCCGTTCGTGACACTAACTTTTTCATCTCAATCAAGATCTTACATAAAAAGAATAATTAATTGAAAGAAGTAATTTGGTCAGTTAGACCACTAAATATAAATGGACTAATTCCTATTTGTGCCTTGGGACACAACTCAGAGAAATGTAGCTTATTTAATTTTTGGTTTTGTGGTTGGAGGGAGATTACCGGCATGGTATGAGCATGAGTGAGTGTGATAATTTTTATTGCGGCGGAAGGCAGTTGGCCTAGCCAGGACTACCAGTATTCCAGGTCAAAAAGGTGCCGAGGCTTTTCTTTCCTTTTCCCATAAGGTAAGGACCTTCGGAGGATCGCTCTTCTGAACCAAGGTAGGTGCCACTAACCCCCCCAGTATCCGTTGACTAACGATAATTTTATTTTGAATTTTTTGTTCGGTCTTTGGTTTGTGTATTTTTGTTTGCATTCTATGTTTTTTGTGCTTGTTTTTGTTTTAGTTTGATTCTTCTGTTTTGTTTTGTACTGTCTCAAGCATGAATTGACTACTCCAAGTCAAAAACAGACTTTTGTACCACACACGTTAAATTTATTGTAAAAGGCTCCAATATCATTGTCATATTTTCTTTCGGTTGTCGTCTTATGATAATTTCCTTATTTCGTCTGGCTCGTTCCAAATGTGGGTTGGAGCCGCCGGGACACCAGATGGTACGATCGCACGGTTTACCTCCCGGTTAAAAATAGGGTGACGACGAAAATAGTACTGGTGTAATTTTAAAAGACACGGCCTTTAACTCGTAAATTCGTAAACTCGTAAATCCCAATTGTGTCCCGGATCGTCGAAAAAGGCGGAAAACGTTTTGCCGCGAATTGAGAACTTCTGTGTCAAGGGTAGGCCGTGGGCATAGTCGAAGCGGCTCCCACGGGGCGAAGAATTTGACGAGGGCCGCCTTTGCAGAAATTACGTTCTTCCGGTTTCTGCGATAAACTATTATTCAAACAACAGCGAGTCGTCTAAAAGAAGAAGTCGCAAATTGAAAACATAATATGACGATGATGTTGATAGCCCAATTGTAACACTGCAGTTGGTCGAGCTCATATTAGCACAAATCACTCCATAAAATCTTCTTTTTAAAGGCAAACCGTTGTCAATAAAGATTATGCGTTCGAATTAGATATAAAGTTTTAGCCGGACTTTTAATCTAGGTTACAAAGCCATGATATTCCTACCAACGACGAAGCTTTTAAAGGATTATTCCTTGTCTCCTCCCAATATGTCAAACAAAATGTTCCTATCAGACGCGAAAAACTTTCCGAACCATTGCTATATTTTTACTGATGATTCGCTGATAGAAGGTAAAGCGGGATTGTACCCTTCTGGATCCGAAAAATGGTTATTCTGAGGTCTTTTCGCTTCCTAACGCAGTATCCATCTTTACAGCAGAAACGTTTGCCATCGTAAAAGCCCTTGAATATATATCAGCGCTAACAGTCACCAAGTGCGATACAGAATGTTGAAAACTTTAGCAATTCGAAGCCGGACTATATGCTATGCGAAATTATTTAAAGAACTTTTGAGCTCAGCAGACAAAACAAGAACATGGTTTTCTGTTGGGTACGAGGCATAGTGGAATAAAGAGGAATGACGCAGTTGACAAATTGGCCAAGCATGCTACTCAATTCGGCAGCTTTCAAGATTTGAAGCTTCCGAAACTTGTTTCGCTGAAGTTATTCAAGTAGTGGCAATATATTTATATGGTACAGCTGAAAAGGTGTCTTTCTACAGGGCCTTATTCCCAAATGTTAATAAACACGCTGGAATTTACATATAGACGGTAGTAAAGGATTTTTTTCCGTCATGACACGAATCTAGAACGAGTCATGGAATAAGCGTGCCTACCTTTGCAAAATAAAACAGAGACAATCCCCCAATTTTTCCACTTGCGATGTACTCGAAGATTTAAAGAATTTACTTATCAATAATTATAACACATCCGCAGATGGGATGTCGTGCTTCCCTGAGGCCGGGGGCGCTGGCAGGTCAGTAGGGCGGAGCAGTAGTTAGTGGGTGCCGCTACATTTTATACAATGGCAAGATATTAAAGAAATAAAGCCAAAAAATTATATAATGTCGAAATGCTTCTTAACTTTGCTCCTCTCAGAGCCCGTTGAACCAGCCACGGTTAAAACTCTTTTCACAAGAATGCCGTTCATAATTTGAACCAAGTCCAGGGAAGGAAGGGTTGCTGCACCATCAGTAAGGGACCACCGTTCAACTGATCCTAGTTTAACCACCAGTTGGTAGAAATGATCGAAGACTCTACGGTTATAGCTAGTGATCGTGTTTATTAATTGTTTACATTGGCTGTTGTAACACTTGTATTATTTTTCTTTCGTCGAATATGTTGGACAACATTTTTGTTGACATTCTGAATCTATTAAAGAATCCGTCATTGTCTCCTTCGTGAAAATGGTTTTGTTTGGTTCTAAAAACTTTTCCTTTGTATACCAATATGCACTGAGAGGGAAAAAGTGATATAATATTTTAAATTATCTCTTGTACAATCCTACAACAATATTTGGTCCATTTTAAAGGATTAGAGGTTGATAACAAAAGATTCAGTCTCTTCTATGTTGCTTTTTCTGTAAAGCCTTTTACCAATTCCGGTTGTTTGAGTTTTGAAGTTGTAATATTTTATAGCATTGTTGGAAGATGTAAGAAGTCAAGGATATTTGGCCAGGGTTCTTCAGTTTCCCAGAACAACGGTCTTCCATCGCTGCAAAGATACTGGATTTTACCCAATAAGGCATGAATCAGGCCGCCTTCGTGAGATCGCCTCAGAGAGACGATCGTTTTATTGTTTCGAATGTACTCCGAAATCGACATTTTAGCTGATGTGTTCAAGCAACGACTTCTATAAGCTGGAAATGTTAATGGCAGTTTACGCTCTGTAAGGCGAAGACCTTAGAAGGTGGATCACGCGCGAAAAGGACTGCGTCTTGTCCAGAACTTCCGACAAGGAACAGATCAGCTCAGTTAAGTTTCGCAAGAAACCACATCAATTGTCTGAGCAAGATTAGACTTAAATCTTGTTTGAGATCTTCTGACGGCCGAGACAGGGTTTGGAAGAGAGGAGTTATANAATATAAATTAGAAAAGAGGGTAGTCACTTTTTTGCTTCCCAATGTATCTGGGGTATTGATTTCGGTTTTTCGTAACAGAAATAATTGATCAATAAATGCTCCCCTTTTTAGACGGCATTTGAAGCCCAAATTTGTCTAGACAAAATGAAACCAAAATGATTGCAGACTGATGAATTGAAAGGAATTATTGAATATCTAGTAGGGTATCCCACAAATTCAAGAATAACTCAGTAAACACGCGAGAATGTCTTTCATTTAATTTTATTGGTGTCGTCGTTATAAGCGAATCAAAGGACTTTTTAGTTTCAAAATGCATAATCGTTGGAATTATCGTTGCAAATTAACCAAAAACATCGCTTGAAACCGTTACTCCCGGAATATCGTTGTATCCAATATCGTAATAATCCTATTCCACTGTAGAAAGTAGTTAAACAGACATTTGTAATGAACTAGGCGTAATTTGTATTTTATCATTCCTTCATTCCAATCAACAGATTCCCTAGGATATTTAGTTCCCTAAGACAATTGACCAGAGAAAATATACTTTCTTGGAAAATATTTGAAAGGTATGAGTCCAGGGATTGTATGGAGTTTAATTCCTTGTTATTATGAGCCGAAATCACCTGCAGATTCTAATTTTTCGATACTATTATCTATTTTATTTTCAACGTTTTTAATGATATGTCTTGATATATGAAATTTCTTTTGTAGAATCTCAGAACGGCGACGTTCACGATTCTCCCAAGGAAGAACTCCAAAACGGTAACAAATCTCCCCAGATGAATGGAAATGGAAATGGACACGGACTCGGAAACGGATCTGCGTCGACAAACGGCCACTCGAACGGCGGCACCGCACCCAGGGCCAGAGTCCCCCCGGGCGGCTACTCCAGCGGTCTTTGGTGAACAACGACGTGGACGAAAAACGGATGGAAAGCCGGAGACGGCCTGAAACACGACAAAAAGCCTTTTCTACTTTGTACAACTTTCCATCCGATTTTTCAACTATTTCTCCTGATCGACTTGTTTAAATTGTACACCATTCAATTCTGTCGGATAATTTAAATGCAAAATAATTTAACTTATATTAATCAACTATACTCGTAAGGCTGATTTTTCTTGTGCCTTCTTAAGATATATTGTTTCATCTCATCTTTCTTTCTTTTCTTTACTTTTTTTTTTGTATGAATGCTTCGTTTTCCCCATCTCTTTTCGTATGAACTTTTTAGAAGTACATCATCATAGTGTTTAAGTATCATCCTCACACCATTCACCAGAGCATTAATTTGTCTTTGTTTTGTAGCCTGTGTCATCTTCTGAGGCATGATTTTTATATATTGTTTATAATATATTGTAGTTATTAAATTAAAAAAACTCGAAAAAATGTTTGTTTTTTCTTCTAAACCCCTTTGCACTGCGAAAGCATGTTAGTCAAATAGAGAGGTTAGAGTAACATAAATAGTAGTATGTTTTGAGTAAGTATGAAAAAAAGTTAAAAATTTTTTTGATAGTTGTTTATGTCTACTGCTGTATTGTTGACTGCAAGTTGCCACGGGAAGTTAGACTTATGATTTTATTTTGTCTCTACATCGTCTGCGCACCGCGTTTTACTTCATTTCAGGTTATTTCTAAAAGTTTTATTTCTACTTGTTCGCGATCTTGCTCAATAAACACACGTATTCGTTTATCATTTTTCAACGGTTGGATTGATTAAGATAATGCAAGGACCCAGGTTGTTCAGGGCCAGAGGGACGACGTCGAGCCAGTCCTCAGACCTGGGCAGAGTCCGACGATTCCTCAATAAAGAAGAAAAGGTAAGCCTTGAAATACAATCTTGGTTACTCGTTTCGTCCGCCTTTACGGCTGAAAACATCTTCAGGCCGCAACAGTAATTTTATTTAAAATATTATATATAATATAAATAGTAGAGTTGATGATGGGTTTTAGTCTTCGAGTCGGTGAACTGAGACAGTAGTCAGTGACCCTGTGCCGGTTCAATATGGACAAAAAAAAATTGTGCAAATTCTGCAGACGATCAACTGAGTTTAACTTGTACACAAAAAATCGGAGAATTAAAACGCTTCTGGTCAAAATTTGATAAAATAAAATTAATGGCAATCAAAAAGAATCAAGAAAAACGGCTTATAAGTAAAACTCACGCCATCTTCAGTGAAGAACGCCAGTAGCTGAAACGCCTGAACGTAAACCAGCGTGACTGACCCAGTAAAGTTATCAATCTACATTTCAAGATATTTTAGATTAGCAAATAAAATAAAAATAGATTGAGGTTACAATTGGTAACCTAACTATATGTAATTTATTTATTATATATTTATATTATTAATTAATTTAATTAATAATTATTCGAAAATTTAGGCAAATAACTTAAATAACAAATAAAACGTAAAGCACATTAAAAAAGTAATAAATATGACTATAAACGTTAATACCTAAAATTTTTTCGTATTTTTTTAACATAACGGTCTAAGCGGTTTTGATGCCTTAGGATTTTTGTTTTTTGCTTGTGCTCTCTAGCCTTGCCGTTGGCTAAAGTTTTAAAGTGCGCACCGCGAACTAAAGTTCACTGTAATTAGTTCTTTTTCGGCATAAAAATGTGGATATTTAGGAAGGGATGTCATCTATCTTGCTCTTCCTTTTGGTCCTGGGTCTCCTTCTGGGCGGCGTACAGTGCTCTGTAGGAGACGACCTTCTTCGGGTGCTGCTCGACGAATTTTATCTCTGCTGTGAAATCCTTTTCGGCGTCGTACGCCCTGATGAACTGTGGCGCCATCGCGAAATCGACGTGGTGCTGGCTGCCTTGCCGGCACCGAGACGGTTTCAGGATACCTTTCACAACGGCCTGAAACAAAACAAAAATTTGTTCCAACCTGAGTTGGCTAATTTTCTCGATTATATATCCCGGTTTGAGCGAGAACGCGTTTTGTCTGGAGAATTTAATTGACTTCGACAAACTGTTGCGTGTGATTAAGAATTGGTGTAATGTCTACTTACATCAGTTTCCTGTAACAAGATATTTTCTCCAATTTGTTCAAGATCATCAGCTACAGAATTGTTCTGGGCTTCTTCCTCGGCAATTTTCTTAGAGACTATGCCGAGAAGGTTTTCAACCGCTGCGACCACCTCGGCATCTTCAAGGTCGACTTCATCTGCAATATTTTCTCGATGGGGTTCGTCCTTTATTTCAGACTCCGCGTCTATACCGTCCTTAGAAAGCCTATCTATTAAATCGAAGCTTTTTACGAATCCTTCCTCGATGCCGAGTACTGCGGGCCCTTGAGTCTTTTCTAATCCGATCGTGACCAGGTCTAGCAGCTCGCCGAGTTTATCGGCGACTTCATCGTCGCAGGCCTGCTTACAGGGGTAACCGACCATTCTCGACACGGTTCACGACTGGCTTGACTTTGACACCCGGGATTAACCTTGTGCACAATGCTGCATATCTTGGGAACCGTCCAAAAGCCCTCGCACATCAGTTTTAGACTATGCCGATTCTTCTTCTCTCGTATTTATAGGTCCCAGTCAATGCCTTGTTCTACCACTCAATTCTGGCAGATCGTAACAATTCTGAAACAGACGAGGCAAAAGCATCTTTAAAATATCATATCAATCAATCATGCTTTGTTCGTGCTATGCTTTGGAATTTTTTTTAAATATTCATCCACTCCCTTGATTTTCTAAACATCAACTTTCAGATTGCATATTAATAGGTATTTTTTTCTTAAATTCAGCATTTATTTATATCACTTTATAAAATTATTTAAATTTTCTGTTTAATTTTTTTGGCTTAATCTGTTAAAAATGTTTTGATGTATGCCCAGACTTTTATGTTATATTATGCTATCCATGTTTCTTACATTTTTGTTCTTACTACATACTACGATAAATGACAATAAAGTCACATAAATTGGTATGATTCGTATTTTTCATAGTTTTTTTTAAATGTATGTACCTATGAAAACGGATGCCCATTTCTTTCTAGGATCTACTTCACCGACTAAAGTTATATTACGCTATCCATGTTTCTTACATTGATGTTCTTACAACATAGTACGATAAATAACAATAAAGTAAAATAAATAGCTATAAGATCCATTTTTTTAAAATATGTACCTATGAAAACGGATGCCAATTTCTTTCTAGGATCTATTCCGCCAAATAAAGTTACATTATGTATTAATCTATTACAATTTGTTACATTATTACATTAATCTATCCACATTCTTATACTAAAGTTCTTACAACATAATACGATAATGACAGTAAAGTAAAATAAATAAATATATGATAAGTTTTTTTAATCAAGCCCATCAAAAAGGACAAAGGGGTTCGTTTCTCAGATCTGTTCCACCTACTAAGGTTGCTGAACATGATTATTATTTTTTTTTTTAAAGTTCTAAATTGTGTTTCTTAGTAACCTGTTGTTTCATAATTTGTTGAAATCGTGAGGAGCTGTCAAGAATCTGGAAGCTTAGAAAAACACCTTTTTCATTTTTTGGCCGACGTTTCGACCTTTATAAGGATCCCCTTCAGATCCTGGGGAAATTACAAAACATGTTTATTGGAAAAATTTCAACTTAAGATGTAAATATAAATTTTGAACCAAGCATTTCATACTCACATAAAGTGTGGTGCTATTCTTGTGGTGTCATATTGGTGTTGTGTGAAACTTTTGTGAAACGTGAATTTGTACTCTGCTATTTTTTCATATACGTTTCACAACACTTCCACACAACACCAATGTGACACAACAAGAATTGCACCACACTTGATGTGAGTATGAAATACTTGGTTCAAAATTTGTATTTACATCTTAAATTGTATTTTTTCCAAGCATTATATGTTTTGTAATTTACCCAGGCCCTGAAGATGACCCGAATAAAGGACGAAACGCGTGGGGAAAGTGAAAAAGGTGTTTTTCTAAACTACTTCATTCTCGACCGCTCCTCACGACTTCAACAAATTAGTTCTAAATGTTAAATAAAATGCGGCACATTTATTTTTTTCTATCCAACCTAAAAAACAGACCTATTAATTAGAACGAAGTTTAAGTTGTGCTTTTCATGAATAAAAAGAAAAGTATAAGAAAAAGGTTTACCAAAAAGATTTTTTTTATATAGAAAGACAAAGGACAACCATAAGGAAAAGAAAATAAGAAAAACAACATTTGTTAACACAAAAAGAGTTAAAAGAAAATAAACTGATAGAATGAATCCAAAGCTAATGGAGTATTTTAAAGAATTGCTCCTAGAAGAATCATCTGTCATAGAGGACATAACAATTACGGATGATGAGATCGTAAAATTGAAACAGAGCGATGAAGTAATAAATGGTTGTCTAAAGGCTCAGATGAGAACCGAATAAGATTATAGATGATGAAGATAAGATAATTCATATGATTGACAAGAGACGATAATGGTGGTTACGATGAGTTAAAACTTTTGATAAACAATGCACAGCTGATTAGGGCGGAAGGAAGATTCAAAGTTTTACAGAATGTCTTTTAGAATGTGATAGCATATAGTGGATGTAGATTCGGTGTGTGTATTATAATGCGCCCTTTAAGAAGAGCTATTGTATCACCCGCTCTGTGCGTTTGCACCGGTGAGTCCTATTTCTTCACGGAACTTGATTAGTAGGCCTAGTTTCAGGGGTTGAATTTCTTCTGCGGTTACGTTGTACAACCCAAAACTCTTCCTCGTTCGGGAAAATGTGATGATGAAGTTTGTTAGTAGGTTGGTGTTTACTCTTCTTTGAGAATCTGCACGTTCCGTGTTGCGTTAAGCCAATCTTCTTAAGATGCCCAACCAGTCTCCAGTGTCCTGTTACGATACGAAATTTTTTCCTGCTTCCTTGTTTTATTCTGTTGTTACCTTGATGAAAATTTGATAGAAGCTTCTTCGATTATTTATCTCCAATGGAATTCCATTGCTTCCTCATTTTCATTTTGTCCTTTTGGGACCTTTTCCGTTAATGTGCCCCCGCCCCACTCAACCGCTAATCTCTTTCCGGTCATTTAAGGAAATGCTCCTTTAAAGGAAATCATAAATACTGGAACATTTTATTTTAGGTAATTCGTGTAATAATAATTAAGAGCATAAATTGATAGTAAAGGAAATCACATTTGCGTACTTGGGGGCCAAAATTCAGCTATTTCACTAAGGGTGTCTTCCAAATCATCCACATTTCTGGCCGTACATGACTGCCGCCACAAATTATCGCATACATAGGTACCTTTTACCGTTATTCGTAAACTTCGGCGGGTACCCCACTACCATTTGTTCCTCGCCATTGCTTCTCCCATTACACTTTCAATGGACTGCATATGTGCACGGGTAGTCGGGTCGACAAAATTGAGAGAGTGGTTCACTGTCATATGGCGGAAACTAGGATCCTGGGACAATATTTCGTATGCTTTTCACTGATCGGAGATGATGACAGACCAGTAGCGATCCGATCCCGAATTGTGGGGATGAGAGTGGCGGTTGATCTGTCCGTAACGGCGACTAGAAAACTTTCTCTCGTTTCGCGGCAAATGCCACCAAAAAACCACTGCTATGGTAAGATTCTTCCGTTGTTGGTTTTCCGGCGCGAAAACAGCGATTCATCAATTCCCACAGTGCAATTGGGGCCACTATTGCTCGAATGTCTGCGCAAAATAGAGTTCGAACAGACTTCGTACATGTAGTTGCACCAATCAACGATCATGTTATGCTTTCTACTTAACTCCCTACAAAATTTAACGCTTACTATTTCTTATACCCAAGCGTATATGAACAGCACGATGGTCGAATATGGCAGTCTTGAGCCAGTTAGATATGTGTTACTTCTTAACGCCATTCCCGCCTTGCACCCCTTTGTAACACCTCCCTTGTCACGATATCCTGTCAAATGCAGCCTCGCGTCGTGTCCTCCTGAACATCGCACAGGTAGTAGAAGGAGGCCCTTTTCCTGAAGGAAACGAACTGCCGATTCCTTGGTTTTGACAGCGTCGTATAGTAGTGCCATGATGAACTTTTTATTTAACATCGAACCCCTTGTCAACTGGTATGCAACACAATACACCAATACATACAATACAATGGTATACAACAATACACCTTGACTAAAAACAAGATAACATAGGAAAAGAGCGGAAGCCCAGAGACCTGACTTTTGTCTCGATCTCTGTCACCGAGCGCAGCGAGTGGGCCGGAGGCACATTAACAGAAAGGTCCGTCCCTTTGTTTAGTCATTGATGGCGTGAATCGCTTTGCCACAGAAGGGCTCAGGACTTATCATAGCGGTATAGCAGCCCCTTTTCTTGCAAAGGCATCCGCTTTCTCGTTGCCCTCTACTCCCACATATCCTGGGACCCAGTAGAGGGAGACATACCCAATCTGTCTGATTAGTTTTGCAATTTAGCACCATATTTTGATCTCTGATATGATTTGACCTAAAACGCCTGTAGTTATTGAAGTCAACTGGATTATCTATTCATACAAAACTTTCTGCATGAATCGCATTTTAGCGGTGGGTTTGACCTCGCTTTACCAGGCTTTACTGACCCACCTAACTTTCCTGACTAATTACAAAATATCAGTGGCCTGTTGACTAACTAACTAAAACTACACATTCATACACCCCGCAGAAAAGACAAGAGTCTCACGATAAAATAGTTTTGTAAGATTTCTTGAGGTTTGAGAAGCGATGGACCGAAACGCGTTTGACAGGCCAAACCGGTGAGGATGGTCAAGAATCAAATTGGTCGGTCAAGACCAAAATAAAAGGCTCATCACTGCGCACAGCCCAAGCGGAAATTCGCAATAATTGTATGCATTCCATACCTATATAATGTATTCCATTTGATAAATTATATAGGTAAACGTAAATTTGAGTGTCCGTATGGTACTTGATGTATGTAAAAAATATGCGCTGGTTTATAAATGGTGCCAAGGACGACATGCAAGATGGTTAAATAGTCGACTAAGGCGAGTTTTCAACTACGATATGGAGGATTTTATTAATAAGTTCATTTAGAGAATCAATAAGATTTTTAAAAAACTATGGATGATTAAGTTCTTGTTATGTTTTCCCCTTCTTATTTAGTTTAGCAAGTTCATTTATTTCTATGCTATTACATTTAAATCTTTAATTATATCTTCAATTTGACACGAATTGTGCCAAATTTTATACTTTTTTGTTTTTCGAGGGGGCCCAAGCCCCATTATGTTAATATGGTCAAATATCAATGTTTAATGGTGGAGTAGAGTTATATGGATAAAGATCTATGTCCACGAAAAAAGAAAAGAGCATTGTTCGTCTTTCATCATATCACATAGAAATGGAAGCATATTGTTTCCTGAAGAAGGAAAACAAAAGAAAGAGAAGTTCTATTATATTCCAAACATTTCGGTTTCACTCAGTTGTGAATCTATCCGCTCAAGCTAAAAATTTAATAATCGCATAGTCTTATAATAAAAAAAAACTTAATGAAAATTTGTGTTCTTGCGAGCTAAAAATATGGTTGCGTCTTTTAAAAGTGCCAGGCAAAATACCGCTGATTTCATAAAATTTTTCTTTATGAA